GCATAGATTGATCTATTTTCAATTGATTACACTAGCAAAAACGTTTTGTATGCATCTGGCACATGCTCTTGAATGTACATAAGACAGGCTGCTGTTACAGACCATAATTCGTGTTCACCTAAATGAATACCCTGTGGCTCGATAAATTCCTGTTTTGCCAAATTTTTTACTGTTTTCACATTTGCTGGTTTATTTGACCAGTCGACAATTCGTTCTAGGACAGTTGTCAAAGGAAACCAATGTAATGAACGAAGATCTACATTGTTCGTAAAATTCTCTGTCAATATATCTGCTTGCTCAGCAGTTAAATATAGCGGATATACAACATTTGAATGCTGATAGATAAAACGTGATTTTAGACCTTGCTGCAAGATATCTGATTGATCTGTAATCCATTCTAATGTGCGCTGAGCTAAGGGCGTGATATCTTGAAAACGTTTGAATGATTTTGAATAAGGAAATGAAAGAAAAGGATGCTTTATGTATACATGATTTACTGTTCTACCATTAGCCAACCCAAATAAGATTTCCTTCTCACCATTTGGTCGAATAGTATAAAGAAATAAATGAAGTCGTTGAATCGCTTTGGGATTGTATGCCCGCCGATCGTTACCTCTACCATTACGATCGAATTCCATATAACTACCATCTGGCGAATAGTAATAGATCATTTTACCAGTGTGATCGTATTCCTTTTTAAAATCTTTACAATTAGATAATTTGTGTTGACCACGACATGTATCGAGCCAATAGCACGCGTACTGCTTGTTTACAGAAGCGTCTGCTTTGACGTTATCGTCACCAGATGTTGTCGACGGATGTGATGATGCCATCTGTAAGGAAAAGCAAGAGACAATATAGCTATAGTGCTTGATTTCGCATTTATATGTATAGAATTGCTCATTCCATATGCAACTCGAACTGATATTAAACCAATGAAAATAAACTATATGACTCATTTTTAAACGGATACGTCTCACTACTGTCATTTGACTCACAATAAATAAAGGTAAGAGCATTTTAATGATTATAGCATGAGTAAAACCAAGTTATTGCTGTAAAGCTTATCTTAACAGCCTTATGAAGCTCGAGATTTCTACAAAATACAAGGATGCAGTAAATGCGTCATCAATATAAACAAATAAATAACGAGGTCATATGTTCAAGTTTCGACTATTACTGTATTTTGCAGAATTCTGTGCATTTTTAGGATATATTCTCGAAGTTCGAATAAAACCATGGTAAACCGACTATGCTAGATAGATATGGGTCTAGATCTGAGTATGTGTGTGGCTTGGGCAATAAATGTAAAGTACAATACACAGATAGACGCGCATGGCGTGGATGCTGGTTTCGGGCGTGAGTATGGAGAGCACTTCTTTTAATCGTCACGCCCATACCCATCAGCACGCCTACACCCACATCCGCGTCCACATCCTACTTCATCAGATGATAGAGCAGAAGATGAATCAATTGTTTGATTAAATTCTATTAAGCCCCCCCCCCCCCTCAAAAATGTCAAGTTTCGTTAGAAAAACGAAATTTGAGATAAGTGCACAGCCGAATACTATGAT